GCTCTCTCTTCACACGCGAGTGTCTGGGTTCGATTTCCAGCGAGGGTAGAAACATTGAGCGTTTTTCTTTACGCCAGTTGTCTATGTTCACCCATCAGTAAAATGGGAACCTAGGAGTTAGTCGACTGGTGTGGGTCGCATCCTGGGACAAAACCGATCTAATTTGCTCGAAATGCTCAGGATAACAAGTGGCTTTCTATATAGTAGTATGTCATTGATGTCAGCTATGGTCTGTATACCTTATACATGTACTTGTAGAAATAAAGATTATTATTATTATTATTATTATTATTATTATTATTATTATTATTATTATTATTATTATTATTAAAGCAAATAAAACATATAAATCTGTGTGAAATTAATCTGGTCAAGTGTTGCTGGTGGGCCTGCCTGTTGCTGGTGGGCCTGCCTGTTGCTGGTGGGCCTGCCTGTTGCTGGTGGGCCTGCCTGCTGCTGGTGGGCCTGCCTGTTGCTGGTGGGCCTGCCTGTTGCTGGTGGGCCTGCCTGTTGCTGGTGGGCCTGCCTGTTGCTGGTGGGCCTGCCTGTTGCTGGTGGGCCTGCCTGTTGCTGGTGGGCCTGCCTGTTGCTGGTGGGCCTGCCTGTTGCTGGTGGGCCTGCCTGTTGTTGGTGGGCCTGCCTGTTGCTGGTGGGCCTGCCTGTTGCTGGTGGACCTGCCTGCTGCTGGTGGGCCTGCCTGTTGCTGGTGGACCTGCCTGTTGCTGATGGACCTGCCTGTTGCTGGTGGGCCTGCCTGTTGCTGGTGGACCTGCCTGTTGCTGGTGGGCCTGCCTGCTGCTGGTGGACCTGCCTGTTGCTGGTGGGCCTGCCTGTTGCTGGTGGGCCTGCCTGCTGCTGGTGGACCTGCCTGCTGCTGGTGGGCCTGCCTGCTGCTGGTGGGCCTGCCTGCTGCTGGTGGGCCTGCCTGTTGCTGGTGGGCCTGCCTGCTGCTGGTGAACCTGCCTGTTGCTGGTGGACCTGCCTGTTGCTGGTGGACCTACCTGTTGCTGGTGGACCTGCCTGTTGCTGGTGGACCTGCCTGTTGCTGGTGGGCCTGCCTGTTGCTGGTGGGCCTGCCTGTTGCTGGTGGGCCTGCCTGTTGCTGGTGGGCCTGCCTGTTGCTGGTGGGCCTGCCTGTTGCTGGTGGGCCTGCCTGCTGCTGGTGGGCCTGCCTGCTGCTGGTGGGCCTGCCTGTTGCTGGTGGGCCTGCCTGTTGCTGGTGGGCCTGCCTGTTGCTGGTGGGCCTGCCTGTTGCTTGCGACCCAGTGAACAACATCTCACGCACACTTGATGTGGGGCACATATGTGCAACTGAATAATCGTCACAAGAAACTTGCATCCTGGCGAATCTAAGATTAACTTTTCAGGAACCCCAGTAAGGAGTCATTCACCACACACTACGGCATATGTCAGTCCCAAACTCTAAAGTTTGCAGCGTCAGCATGGAACCCACACCTGATAAAGCATGTCAGAAAGTTGCAAAAAAAGTGCAGAGGTTTCCAGCGAGATTTAGTTCCTAAGTTTTCCGAGGGGAAAACTTAGCTAAACTTAGTTTTCCGAGGTGAAAACTTAGAGAGCTAAACTTGATGACATTAGAGGGTAGGACCAGGGGCGATATGATAACGACGTAAAAAATAAAGTAATTGGTAAGATGGACAGGGACAGACTGATCGAGGGGTGGGAATCAGGTACACGAGGGCACAACTGGAGGTATTTTAATTACATTTATCACTTTGTGAACTAGGCTAAGATTCTCATGTTATTTGAGAGCTGTAATTGCACTTGATTTGCTCGTTTGTATGCCTTGCTTGCCTGCTTTGCAAAAGTGAGATTGTGATAGTGTTGCATACATGACGCTCAGTTTAGTCTGCACACCTACCATGTTGCCTGCATCTTCCTGCCTGCTTGCTTTTACCCTCAATCCTGGCTTCTCGTCACTATGCTTCTGTCAGATTAAATTTGAGTGTAGAATTCTGTCTGTCTGCTTGTTATGATGTCTTCATGCATGTCTGACAGCCTGTCTGCCTGTCATCCTGCCTGCTTGCATGGTTGTCTGTCAGTCATCCTGACTGCTTTCATGGTTGTCTGCCTGTCATCCTGTCTTTTACTCGTATTATACTTCCTCATGCCTGTCATCCCACCTGCTGTTCTGCCTGTCATCCTGTCTGTGTAAGCCTGTTAGCCTGTCATCCTGGCTGTTAATGCCTGTCATCTTGCGTGTTATTCTGTGTAAGCCTGCCAACCTGTCATCCTTCCTGTTATTCTGCTCGTGTAAGCCTGCCAACCTGTCATCCTGCCCGTTTAAGCCTGCCAGCCTGTCATCCTGCCTGTTATCCCGCCTACTTTCATGCCAGTACATCTGTGTGTGTCTGGACGCTAGCCAAATTGCTTGTAATGTGTTAATTCCTGTGTCTGCGTTGCATGTCTGCCTACCTACCTTCTATAACTGTCTGCATATCTTTTATGTCTGTCTGTATACCTTATATGTCTGCCAGTATACCTGCCATGGATGCCTGCATGCCTTCTGTGTCTGCCTGCATACCTTATATGTCTGCCTGCATACCTTATACGTCTGTCTGCATACTCTCCTGTGTCTGCCTGCATACCCTTCTGTGTCTGCTTGTTTACCTTCCATGTCTGCCTGCATGCCTTCTATGTCTGCTTGTATATCTTCTGTGTCTGCTGGTATACCATCTCTATCTTCGTGTATACCTTGAGTGTGTGCTGGCAGTCTTGCCTGTCTTCCTGTCCTACTCTTATATAATCACGTAAATAAGTGGAAACCCCTACAGTGTGTGTATACATGACTGATGTACTTGTTTTGTACTCACGTAATTGTGCTCACCTAATTGTGGTTTCAGGGGTCAAGTCATAGCTCCTGGCCCCGCCTCTTCACTAGTCGCCACTAGGTCCACTTTCCTCTTGCTCCAGGAGCTTTATCATACATCTTCTTAAAGCTGTGTATGGTACCTGCCTCCACTACATCATTTTCCAGACTATTCCACTTCCTGACAACTCTATGACTGAAGAAATACTTCCTAACACCCCCTGTGACTCATCTGAGTCTTCAACTTCCAATTATGACCCCTTGTTGCTGTGTCCCATCTCTGGAACATCCACTCTCTGTCCACCTTGTCGATTCCTCTTAGTATTTTATATGTCGTTATAATGTCCCCCCAGTCTCTCCTGTACTCCAATGTCGTCAGGTCGAGTTCCTTTAACCTCTCCTCGTAGGACTTGCCCCTTAGCTCCGGGACTAGTCTCGTTGCAAACTTTTGCACTTCCTCTAATTTCTCGACGTGCTTGGCCAGGTGTGGGTTCCAAACTGGCGCTGCATACTCCAGTATAAGCCTGATATATACGGTGTACAAGGTTTGGAACGACTCCTTACTGATATGTCGGAATGCTATTCTTAGGTTTGCTAGGCGCCCATATGCTGCAGCAGTTGTTTGGTTGATGTGCGCCTCAGGAGATGTGCTTGGTATTATATACAGTCAAAGATCCCTTTCCTTGATTGTACTCTGCGGTCTTCTTTGCCCTTCCCCGATCTTCATGACTTTGTACTTGGTGGGGTTGAACTCCAGGAGCCAGTTGCTGGACCAGGCCTGCAGCCTGTCCAGATCCCTCTGAATTATCTGAATTCTCCTCCTTAACTTCACATCGTCTGCAAACAGGGACACTTCTGAGACTATTCCTTCAGTTATGTAATTCACATATACCAGAAACAGCACCGGTCTTAGGACTGACCCCTGTGAACCTCGCTTGTCACAGGCGCCCACTTTGACACTTCATCGCGTACCATGACTCGCTGCTGCCTTCCCGTCAGGTATTCTCTGATCCATTGCAGTGCCCTCCCTGTTATACTTGCCTGGTCCTCCAGCTTTTGCACTAGTCTCTTGTGTGGAGCTGTGTCAAAAGTCTTCTTACAGACCAAGAAAACGCAGTCTACCCACTCCTCTCTTGTCTTACTGCTGTCACCCTGTCACATAACTCCAGCAGGTTTGTGACACAGGATTTCTCGTCTCTGAATCCGTGCTGGTTGTCCTTTGTAAGCTCATTCCTTTCTAGTTATCCACTACTCTCCTCCTGATAATCTTCTCCATAACTTTGCTTACATTACATGTCAGTGACACTGGCCTGCAGTTTAATGCTGAGTGTCTCCTTTCTTTTTTTTAAAAAATTGGGACTACATTTTCTGTCTTCCATACCTCAGGTAGTCGCTCTGTTTCGATAGATGTGTTGAAGATTGTTGTCAGTGGTATTCTGAGCACCTCTGCTCCTTCTCTCAGGACCCACGGAGAGATGTTATCCGGTCCCATCGCCTTTGAGTATGTGTGTGTATGTGTGTGTGAGAAAGAGAGAGAGAGAGAGAGAGAGAGAGAGAAAGAGAGAGATAGAGAGAGAGAAGGCAGGCAGACTTTTAAATGAGGTAAGTAATAGCTCTTTACTTGCAAATAAAGGCAGGAACTCTTAAAATAACCCTGTAAAACCGTCTTGTGTGGAGAGAGAAGGGGGGAGGGGGTGTAAGCAAATAGACTTTTTCTGGTCCTATTTAAATATTGTGCGTTTACATAACTTCCATATACGACCGTGTATGCAAAGTACAGATTTGACAGACATCTGAAATTTACAACAGACTTACGTCAACTTTTATGACTAATGGCAGGTTCTCTCTAGAAACCTGCAGTGTGGCCACACACACATCTAGCCTAGTACTCCCCTCAAGGGAGGTTCCTTGATGCTGTGGGAAGGGCTCTTGATCTTAGGAATTGGACCGTACTCAAATTCCTTGAATCGAGGCTTGAATGCCTTATACATTTTAGGAGTTTTTATGACTCCCTCCGGGTTTAGAGTCACCCGTGAATGTAATAAGTACTGCAAGTGCTTCTGTCACTACTCCTACTACATTCACTGCTGTTGATGCACAGGAAAGGTAAATATGGGTGTAAAACTTAGGTTGGCAATGTATGAGTGGCAACCACGAGCTGCACAACCACGCGGAGCTGCAGCTCAGCCAGTTGTTGCTCACACGTCGGGGGAGGTGGACGTGTCGCCGCCACGCTGACTAAACCTTCTTAATTGGGGGGAAAAAATAAACACTCGAAGATATTTTAACTATAATATTTTTTTTGATGTTAAGGGTAGCTACTTAAGGATGGTAGAGCCAGTCGCGCGTGGGAGTGCGACAGTATGGTGGCACCATGGTTATGGTATCCGGTAAGTAGAGCTGCATGGGGGTTGTAATGGGTGATTCAGGGGATGAAGGTTTTTTGACATTTTTGCCCTTTCATGCTCTTGGTAACAACTTCCTGTCATCGTTATTTTGTAATGCCTGTGTGGAACTACAGAGTGATGGGCCTTTGTGTTGACCAGGTTTGACCTCTTGCTTGTGGGACTGCATGACTGTCGACTGTGTCGCTTGCATGATTTTTTTTTCTGTGCACTTGGACGGGTGTTTAGGCGAGTCTCCAGTCATGTCCTCTTTTTTCCAGTTCCTATTCCCCTCAAGGGAGGTTCCTTGATGCTGGAGAGGGGCTTTTGATCTAGGGAATTGGATCTGTACTCCAGTTCCCCGAATTAAGACTAAATACCTTCCACATCCCCCCCCCCCACAGACGCAGTATAATCCCACGGGTTTAGCGCTTCCCCTTGATTATTATAATAATAATAATACAGTTCCTACTCTAAGAGCCTGGAAGTATTTTGTATATCGTGGTCACGTCTCTCGAGATTTTTCTTACCTTGAGTGGCTGGAGCCCAGGTTCTCGTGTTTCCTCACAGCTCGACGAGCACCTGGCTGCTGCATGTAAGCTGTTGTATAAAGTTTCGCATTTTGTAGCGGTTCCTGTAGGGCTGTATAACCCATTGTAGGTTTAGAGCTTAGTTAGCATGTTAGGAAGATTGGCTCGAAACACTATTGATGTTATTGGAGAGCGCGAAACCCGTAGGGATTATGCAGCGCTTGGGGGGGATGGAAGACATTCCGGCTCAATTCAGGGAACTGGAGCACAGATCCAATTTCCTAGATCAAGAGCCCCTCACCCTTGACGGGTGAAACACGTTTAGATTTTTGAATGTAAGGCTTAGCTGCCTAGCGTGTACTTATTTCTCAGGTTATACATATGAATTAAGAATCACTACAAACTATCTGTGATGACGTTCATGGGCAAAAATTACTTTCTCCCATAGACTTTTTTCCCCCTTTTTTCCAATTGTTTCTTCTTCACTGTTAATAATTATCTGCAACTGATTTTTTTTTATTGTGTGTTTCGGGGGACAGATTCAGTGAAACTGCCACATGGTGTGTTGCCTCTTGTCTGATTCTGATCGTTCTTCCGCGACGCTGAATGACCCATAGATTTAAAAAAACTAGACACCTATTTACTGCTAAGTGAACACTGGCGGCAGGTGCCTCTCATCTTTCCACTCTGTCAAATCATAAGAGAATCTTGTATGTAGTTACCATGTCTTCCCTGGTCCTCGTTTCCTGTAGCCTCTTAGTTCCACCCTACTAGTTCCTGGACCCGTCTAATTGCAATCTTCTATACCTTCTGAACATGGTTTATCAAATGTGGGTATATCTTGTAACAGGATTTATATATGCCGCAGTGTTTAATAATAATAATAATAATAATAATAATAATAATAATAATAATAATAATAATAATAATAATCTGTTAAAAATATTGCACAGTATAAATTTATAAAATCATTCTTGAAGCATATACACGTTTTAGTCAGATTGGTAGTACATTACGCAGTTTCAACCAAGGATAACCAATAAAGCCAGTGTGACAATTAATTTGGGGCCCTTGCTGAAACTATAACGATATCTGACAATCAGGTTACGAAAAAAAATTAAAACACTTTTATGTTCCAGTGTGTCAGTGTAACTATCAAGAGGGGAAATTCCTGCTGTATTCTCGACTCTGAGTCCAGCTTCGGAGACATTGGAGGAGATTCATAATCCCATTTGATTTGTTGTCCTATTGTCTTTTAAGTAATATCAAACTTTACCTTGTCCCAAGGTTCGTAGGTTCGAGTCATCTTCGACCAGAGATTAGTGTTTGTGAATATTTCGCCTCTTCTGCTGTACACATTAACATAAAAAAAAATATATATCTTCAAATGTATAAGAAAATTTTTTAGAAAGGATTTAATTTTAAACGACTTCTTGCAAATTTACCAGTTTTGCCTATTCGGCACTTCCCCCACACACACGTACTTGTGTGTGTACTCACCTAGCTGTGGTTGCAGGGGTCGATTCACAGCTCCTGGCCCCGCCTCTTCACTGGTCGCTCTATGAGCTTTATCATACCTCTTCTTAAGGCTATGTATAGATCCTGCATCCACTACATCACTTCCCAGACTGTTCCACTTCCTGACAACTCTGTGACTGAAGAAATACTTCAAAACATCCCTGTGATTCAAGTGATTCTTAACCCAATTGTGACCCCTTGTTGCTGTGTCCCATCTCTGGAACATCCTGTCTCCGTTCACATTGTCAATTCCTCCCAGTATTTTATATGTCGTTATCATATCCTCCCTGTCTCTCCTGTCCTCAGGTCGATCTCCCTTAGCTCCGGGACTAGTTTTGTTGCAAATCTTGTGTGGAACTGTGTCAAAAGCCTTCTTACAGTCGAAGAAAACGTAATTCATTCATTCATTCATTCATTCATTCATTCATTCATTCATTCATTCATTCATTCATTCATTCATTCTCTCTCTCTCTCTCTCTCTCTCTCTCTCTCTCTCTCTCTCTCTCTCTCTCTCTCTCTCTCTCTCTCTCTTAAACACAGGGTTTGACAAGGTTAAGGATCCCTAGTTTTATTGACAAGCTATTTACAGGTTAAGGATTCCTAACTTTATTGACAAGCTAAGAGCTGTTACCTACATCAGCTCATTTGAAAACATTTTTATTGTTATGAGACATACAGGTAGGGAATAGGATGAAGTTGGAGGCATCTGTGGGCCCGCATTTTCATTTGATTAACTGACGTTATCTCGTTGACATCATTATGCTGTACGAATGTGTTCCATACTCGAGTCATCCTGGGTATATATGATCTCAGATGGAGTGATGTTCTGGAGAAGGGTACAGCCAGAGTGAAGTTGCTGCTTTCTGCCCGTCTTGTGGCATAAAAGCTTGTTTCACTCTGTCCTCGAAGCGGATCCAAGTGTGGTATTTAGACAATATTGGCCTTGTACATAACAGTAAGGCCACCCACATCCCTCCTGTGTTGAAGGCTCTGCTGAAATGACAGATCTATCCAGGATGGGTCCAGGCGAGAGATGAGACGTCTTGCTCTGTTCACTACTATGTCAAGCAGTCGCAGATGAGAGGGGGGGGGGAAGGCAAACCAAGATAGTGGGGCATACTCAAGGTGTGAGCGTACTTGTGCCCCCCCCCCCTCCCCCCCTCTCTCCTCTCTCTCTCTCTCTCTCTCTCTCTCTCTCTCTCTCTCTCTCTCTCTCTCTCTCTCTCTCTCTCTCTCTCTCTCTCTCTCTCTTCTCTCTCTCTCTCTCTCTCTCTCTCTCTCTCTCTCTCTCTCTCCTCCTCTCTCTCTCTCTCTCTCTCTCTCTCTCTCTCTCTCTCTCTCTCTCTCTCGTCTTACTACTGCCACCCTGTCATAAAACTCCAGTAGATTTGTGACAGAATTTCCCGTCCCTGAAACCGTACTTGTTGTTTAGCTCATTCCTTTCTAGGTGCTCCATCACTCTTTCCCTGATAATCTTCTCCATGACTTTGCATACTGTACATGTTAGTGACAATGGTCAGTAGTTTAGTGCTTCGTGTCTGTCTCCTTTTTTAAAAAATTGGGACTACATTTGCTGTCTTCCATGCCTGTCATTGCATATTGCATTTATGCTAAAAACCTACGTTTCTAAATGTAAATGCACATTACGCGTTACAAGGGCGGATGCTGGTGAAGAATGGCCTCATCACACCTCTGTGGGTCTCGTGGACGAGGCGGGGGTGAAGGGGTACTGGGATATTTTTAAGTCTGTCCCAGCACACATAATAACTTCTTGAAACAGTACACGTTAAGTGAAATTAAGTTATTTTTGGATTTTTTTCTGAATTCTTTTTCGTTTTTTAAAAATACTCAAAAGTTTTGATGCAAATGATATTGAAAGCCAATGTGACGCAGGAAGGGAGTTCGTGAGCCGTTTTTAACTTTCTCGATAGGCTGTGCCTTTAGGAATTCTGGCTATTTCATGGAAATCTCTCAAAATCGGTATGGATCCACCCACCCCTGCAACGCACTTTATAACAATGATAGCCATCCTAGCATCCTGTTGGGGCCAGTCACGCTAGGGTGAGTGTCACATACTCGTGTTACACTCTTCAAATTACCAACATGAGACCTGTTGCAGGTTAAGAGCAGTCTCTTTAGTTTATTTAATCTTTCTCTTATGATTACTTTGTGCATGTACACCCACGAGTTTGATCTTTCAACAAACATCACTGAAGGAGCGCAACAAGAGTGACAACACAGTCATATGGAAGGGGAAAAAAGCCACGAATCCTGAAGACAAAGTTTGAACGTTGATTTTTACTTTCCCAAAACATGAAATAAGAGACACTGTTTAAAAAACGATATTGCTGTATAACCCTTGCGGTTTAGCGCTTGTTTTGATCATAATAATAAATGATATTGTATACATAATACAAACATAAAAGTGGCATTACTGACACTTGTGACAGGATTGCTAAAGCTGCTGTGAGCGAAACATCTGTTCAGTAGTCTTAGCACCACATCATTATTTCCAGGGTGTAAAAACGTCTCGAGTATAATGATGCTGTGCTTGAGGCGCCAGAGGCCGATGATTACGAGTATTATATACCTCAGAAAGAACTCAGAATGGGGAAGGAAAAAACTCATTAAAGAGGGTGATAAGGATGTAAAAATCACTGGAAGTGATAATTCTTGCGAATTATTCACCCTTCAAGGAAGAGGAGTTACATCTATGCTTGTGAAGGTCTCGTGATCCAAGGAATTGGAGCTACCATCCTCTTCCTTGGATCGAATCTGTCTCACAGTCCCTTGGCGTTGTATGAACTCTTATGATTTTAACAGTAATTGTGCGCTGAGTGACCCCTACGGATTTAGCGTTTTCCCATGATTGTGACAATTATAATAATTATTGGCAAGCATTATGAAGACTGACATCACAACTCCGCAGCCGAACGATCCACAACTAAAAATTGACAT